CCCCCTGCCGGCAGAGCCGCGGAGCGCGCCCAGGGGCCACGTGCGCAGCGAGGGAGGGAGGGAGGGGGAGCGCTCCGCCTCGCGCCCCGCCCCGCGCCCCGGGGTGTCGGGCTGCGCGCTGTGCACCCTGGACTTGTACTCTGTTCTTCTAGTCAGTTATCCGATGCATCTTTTTCTATGCATCTATTCATTTTACCTTTTTCTATTAACTTTTTCTATTAATCTATTAATGTTATCCTATGAATCTATTCATTGTATTCTAGGAGCTATTAATCTTTTTCTATTAATCTATGAATTTGATCCTATGAATCTATGGGTTTTTTTCTATTAATCTCTTAATTTGATCACATTAATCTATTCATTTTATTCTATGAGCTATGAATCTCAGTCTATGAATCTATGAAAGTTTTTCTATTCATCTGTTAATTTTATCCTATGAATCTATATTTTATCCTATGGATCTATGAATTTTATTCTATGAATCTGTGAATCTTATTCTATTAATCTTTTTCTATGAATCTCTTAATTTGATCCTATGAATCTATGATTTTTTTCTATTAATCTCTTGATCCTATGAGTCTATTCATTTTATTCTATGAGCTATGAATCTTAGTCTATGAATCTATGAATCTTTTTCTATTCATCTATTCATTTTATCCTATGGCTCTATTAATCTTTTTTCTATGAGCTATGAATCTTATTCTATTCATCTGTTAATTTTATCCTATGAATTTATAACTCTTATCCTATGAATCTATGAATTTTATCCTATAAATCTATTAATCTTTTTCTATTAATCTATGAATTTTATCATATGAATCTTATCCTATGAATATTAATTTTGTTCTATGAGCTATGAATCTTATCCTATGAATCGATGACTCTTTTCATACCAAAAATTCGTTACAGGTGAGGTCAATTCACTCTTGGGGATGGGTGCGGTGGGAGCCCGCAGTCAGCGGCTTTGCGCAGTGCGTGGTGGGGTGACGCGCGCCAAAATGAAGGCAGCTCTTGGACTTATGGCGCAGCTGGTTCCTAAAAAACCACGTCTTCAGTCGAAATGTTGTCACTCAGAGCCGATTTTCCCATAGGAAACAATGTTATAAATGGGGGGTTGGTTCCTGAACCGAGGTCCAATACCCTGTTTTCACCAAAAATAACCCAGAATTTTGTTTCAGTCAATTATAGATGAGTAACATAGCGACATTAATATATTTCTATTGTAACTAGCAATCATAGTGATTTGGAAGGACTTCTCTGAGGTGACTTTGCTGGACTTTTTGAAGGGCTCTTGGCTGGAGTCTTCTCAGGAGTTGTGGTTGCAGGTTTTTCTGGAGTCTCGTCCGCTTTCTTAAAGAAAGTGTACAAGGAAGCCTGGGCAGATGTTCTCCAGGGAGATGGGCGATGCAACGAACTTGTTCGCTGGCACGGCGTGGCGTTGGATCAAGCGTTGTAAAGTCAAAACTGATGTCAGAAAGTTGAAACAGGGTGTCAATTTATAAAGGTTGTATATGCAAAACGTTGTAACTCAACATGTTGTAAGCTGAGGACTGCCTGTATAGTCTCCTGTGTGGATCTGTGCTCCTTGCTCGTTGTCTGCGACACGTGTTTGTGTAGTTACCATCCCCATTATAACATTTGCCACTACCCTGTGCTTGTGTGTACTGTCTGCTGTTGGGGAGTACCAAAATTGTCTTGTAAAAGTGGTAGAAATGGGCCTGGGGGTCAGTACAGTCAAGGTCTTGGAACATATCCCGAAAGCTTGCAAAGAAAATGTTTTCAACTATTTGAGTTGGTCTAATAAAAGAGATCGCATCTACCAGGTGTCTTTTCCTGCCTAGTGCAGGGGAACTGGACCTGATGATCTACAACAGGGGTGGGCAAAATAGGGCCCGGGGGCTGGATCTGGCCTGCCAGGCCATTCTATCCGGCCCACGGGGCCCCTAAAAAATTTAGAAAATTAATATTTATTTGCTCCTGGCTGCCTGTCAAAGATCCAGGGGAAGCTGGCGGCAGGACCCAGCAGCAAAGCCCACCCAGTCCTGCCCCCCAACCAGAAGCCCCTGCCTAGCAGAGGAATCTGGCCTGGGGCCATGGGGCTGTTCCTGCTTCCCTGCGCTGAAGAGGGAAATGCAGCCCTCGACAGCTTGCTAAAGCTCGTTAAGCAACTGTCTGCCCAAAATAATTGCCCGCCCCTGATGTACAAGGTCCCTTCCAGCCCCTTGCAATCTATGAATCTACCCAAAGAGCCTTGTCTGCCTGTGTCCCTGGACCGACATGGCTACAGCCTACACCCCTGTTTTGGTGCTAGGCAGCCAAGGTTCCTTGAGTAAATGTGATACCTTTTATTAGACTGACTCAAATAACTGGAAAAATTCTTCTTTGCAAGCTTTCAGGTACAAATACCCTTCGTTTAGGTGTTAGTGCTCTTCCACAGTGTGCCCCCTGCAAGTGTGGCCGACACTAGTGGGGCAAATCGATCAGCCCCTTAACACCTCACGGGGCCCATGGGACTCCTGCAAAGGCAGGGCGTGGGCTGGAGTCTCCCTCACGCCTGGGGGGTCTCCGCTCTTCTTCTGTGGCACAGGGTAGAGCCACCAGCACCAGGCGGGCCCTGTGGGAGGGTCACAGCCACTCTGCCTGGCTCCGCAGGGCCTCCCAAAGTGCAGGGCCCGGGATGGTCACCCCAATTCAGCTTACTCTAGGGACAGCCTTGCCTGCAAGTCTTGCTCGGAAGCTAAGACCAGTATAGTTTCAGTGGAATTTAGATCAGGATTTAGATTTAGATCAGGCCAAATGCCAATGCTGGGCTGCTGGATGCCACCACCGGGGCTGCCCTCACCCTCCTTTCCAAGACAGCCGGAGCTTGGCGGGATGGGTGCTAAAGTCATTGGGAGCCCCAGCCCGCGCCCAGCTGCACCGGCTTGGCAGGAAGGGGCTGGGGCCGCCCGAGTGCACAGCGGAGGGGCCCGTGCAGTCCCTGGGCCCCTGCCGCCCCATCTGAGGGGGAGAAGATGGGCCGCAGAGGGGGTCTCAGCGAGCACAGCAGCTCTCCTTTCAGCCTCGGGGGCCTGGAGAGTCTGGGCAGCGTGTGGCAGGGCAGGGCCCCGCTCCAGTTCGGGCAACCCTGCACCCCTCTCCAGACCTGCCCTTTGCTGGGCCCTTCACAGAGCTGGGGATTCTGATGTCTCGAGGACTGTAGACACAGGAGTCCATATAACCTCAGCAGGAGCTATTTATTGGGGTGACACAAAGGGACCTGGGGAAGGGGCCTGTCCCCAGGAGGGTCACTTGAGAGCGTCGGGCTCCACGTCCCAGTTGGGGTTGTCCCCAAGGACACGAGGCCCCCCACTCTTCTTGGCCATGAAGATCTCGTCCACACCCAGCAGGGTGACGGCCGCCTGGGTGCCCAGCTCCAGTGCCCGGTGCTTTACCACGTAGGCATCCAGCACCCCAGCCTGAGTCGCATCCTGCACCCAGGCCTCCTCCCCCTCGTCCCCACCCTCCAACCGCAGGCCGGCCCTGGCCACCCCCTGCCCATGCCACGTCTCCAGCTGGGACATGGCCGCGGCCACGGGCAGCCCCGCGTTCTCGGCCAGCGTGGCTGGCAGCACTTTGAGGGCCTCAGCAAAGGCTGCTAGGCTGAACTGCTCCAAGCCGGGGTCACGGGGGGCCAGGGCAGCCAGCTGCATTGCTAGCACCATTTCAGTGGCCCCTGCGCCCGGCACCAAGCGGGGGTCTTCTGTCAGAGCCTGGAAGACCCTCAGCCCGTCCCTCACAGCCTCCTCGGCAGCCGCTACAGCCTCCTTGGTGGCCCCACGGAGGATGATGGTGGCCACGGGGCTCGTGGCCGTGCTAGGGTGGAACGCAACAGTGTTGGTGCCCCCGATCTCACCCACAGTGATGGAGCGGCAGTGCCCCAGCTCAGCAGGCAGTGGCGGGCGTGGGGTGCCCAGCAGTCGGGCGCCCAGGGCACAGCACAGCTGTCTCAGCGCCTGGCGGGAGCCCAGGGTCACCACCATGATGCCCATGTGGTCAGCAAAGTGCAGCAGCAGGGCATCAACGTGCCCTCCGGCCACCACCACCTGAGCCCCTGCCGAAGCCACGGCCCGCACCCGCCCCTCAGCCAGCGCCTCCTCGCCTGGCCCGTACGCCTGCAGGTCCCCCGCTGCCTGGAACAGCACCGTGTTTGTGGCCGCCGGGGCGGCCAGACCAAAGGGGCAGCCATACACGGCCACTCGGGCACCTTCCACACGCTGCACGCGGCCCTCGGCTTCAGCCGCGAGGACCACACCGGGCACCACGTGGGAATCGCCCACGCCACCCCCGAGCACCTTGCAGATGCTCACGGCATTCAGGTCGAAGGTGCCCGCTGCTGGCAGGACCGAGGCACAGCATTGGGCCACCAGCGTGGCAAGGAAGTCCTGGTAGCCCATTGCGTGGGTGCCCACGGCCACCCGCAGGGCACGGGCCACGGCGGGCACGTCACGGGGGTCCGGCAGGGCGTGGCACACCAGGCTGGGCAGCAGGCGCAGGGCTTCCTTGCCCGCTCCCTCGTAGCCGGCGCGGATGGCCGCAACAGGCACGCCTGCCCGCAGGAGGGTCTCGCCACGGGCCAGCAGGGCCCCCGCCAGCAGGGCCACAGCGCCCGTGCCGTCCCCCAGCTCCTCCTCCTGTGCCCGGCAAGCAGCAGCCAGCAAGCAGGCTGCGGGGTTCTCCAGCACCAGCGCCCCCAGCACCGTGCCTGCCCGGGCTGTGCAGACGGTCTTGCCTAGGTGGTCAATCACCAGCTTGCTCCGGCCCAGGGGCCCGTAGGATGAGGCCAGGCACTGCACCAAGGCCTTGCAAGCTGCAATGTTGCTGACCAGCGAGTCCGCTTGGCTGGGGAAGTGCTTCATGCCCTCCTTGAGGAGTTGAGGCAGTCCGGGGGGCAGGGGCACGTGGGCAGCCATGACCTGGATGGGGAGAAGCAGTGTGAGACGTGGTGGGGCAGGGCTTTATCCCCTCCAGGGGACCCTGACCCTGATCCTGCCCTAGTCCTACTAGGTGGGACACTGGGTAGTCCTACCCAGGTGGGACACTGGTTGGCTCAGGGTGGGGATGGGGCAGGGGCCTTCCCCCTCTAGTCAGTCTCCTCCAGCTCCCAGCTAGTTTCTAGGGGTCAGGGGGACCTCACCTACACCCACGCAGTCCCTACGACCTGGGGTCCCCACCCTGTCACCCCTTCTCCAGCTACTCACCCCGGGAGAGGCGCTCCGAACCCCTGGATCCTACAGTTGGGTCAGTTTGCTGGGCAGTAACTGCTTCCTCCGGATGGACGGTCAACGTGGTGATGTCACAACGTGGCCCATTCCACGCAGGAACCCCAATAACCGCGGTGCAGGACAGCTCCATGCCCTAGGGCTGGGCTGAGCGGTGGAGATCAGCACCCAAACCCCGACTCGCAAAGTGCTTAATCCCCGTGGATTTCGCACAGCTGGGCTTGGGAGTGGTGTCCCACAGCTGGGCCTGCCAGCAGAGACTGGTGGTTGGGTTTATCCTGGGTCTGGGTAGAGGATGATCAGCACCAAAATGCAGATTTTGACAGTAAGCACCGCTGAGTCCGTGCTGTCACAGCACCAAGCGATGTTGCCAGCTGTGCGGCAGCATGTTTTATATCAAAATCGCAGTGCTCTGCCGCGCTGCTCCTGGGTGACCGTGGGAGGGAGTGCACTTCTCAGACGTGCAATAAAGACATGCCCTTTCCCAAAAATTCCCCTGTCTCCTTCATGCAACTCCCTCCTCTCCCTACAACCCTTCCATACGCTGCACATGGCCCTCAGCCTTGGCTGTGAGGATCGCACCGGGCACCACGTGGGAGTCACCCATGCCACCCCCAGCAGTTTTGCATCTGTCACTCTGAATCTCATCTCAGCTTCAATTCTCTCCTCCCCCTTGGCTTCAGGTCACTCTGTTGGCCCCACTTGGATTTCGAGGTGCCAAGAACAGTACACAGAAGCATGGGAAACCATCAAAACACAAGGAGAATCACCTGTTTGTAATAAGATGGTGGGGTAAATGGCCTTTGTAATTCATGCAATCATCGAATCGTAGAGAAGACGGGCTGGAAGGGACCTCTGTAAGTTATCTAGTCCAACCCCTGCCTGATGCAAGATCTTCCCTATCCAAACCATCCTATACTAATCCAGCCTCTTAGCAAAATTACAGTCTACACAATGCACACAACACCCTAACCTGCCACAGGTGAAGCAGGGGGGCCACAGTGGCCAGCGTCCTGCTTCTGTAAGGGTTGTGAATGTACGCTCAAGAGATCCCAGGAAGAAGGATTCACTTGTCTTCCCTCCTAATAATTCAACCAACAAAGCCACTGAATCAGCATGAGTGTCGGTAGGGCCACCAGGTTCCCCTGTGTTTCCACATTAACAAGATAGCTTTGTTTCCATGTTGGTTGTTCTTTATGCAGAGTATAGTCAACTTCAGGCTGCTTTATAGGAGTACATTAGGATAAACTAGGCCAAGTACTGTGAAGTAGTTAGCTTAAACTTAGCTTAAACTCAAAATAGAGTTTAAGAAGCTAGTAGTAGGCAAAGCAACATTATGGGTGAGAGATGTGTAGCTAGCACCGGGATAAAAGTGAGACAGGATACAAGAACAGCAGAGTGAAAGGAGGTGAGTTCAGTCTGAGCTGGGTGTATCCAGTCTAACTGCAAAATAATAGAATAGGAAATAGAAGAGTCTCTTCCAATACTGGCATTAAGGCCACTTCATATTATCAGTTGACTAATCAAAAGGCCACTCTGTCTGTGGCTGGCTCTCCTCTTATACTGAAATGCTGTTCTGACAGAAGAGCTCATCTGTAGATGGTGGATGCCGCTGTTTTCAGGATGTAATCTCTGAAACTTGGGTAAAGTAGGTTGCCCTAAAAGATTGGCCCCCTGCTAGTGATTTTAAAACCTTTGAGAGTGTAGTAAATTTGACGGATGAAGAAAACTTTCAGGAATTGTAATTTTTTTATTTTTTTGGTTTATAACTTTTTTCAACCTTTTCTAAGCTTTCAGGTTTCACTCATGTTATCATGTACAGTGAGTATAGCCATCTTTTTTTTTCCCCAGGACATCTTTTTAAAGGACATTTGACTGGCAGTAAGTAGAATAATAAGAGTTTAACAAGGTCTGTATTTACTTACTGAACTTGTGAATTAAGAGCTTTATTACATATTTCAGAAAATCATTCTTTAGACTACTTAATTTGATTGAAACAGGTCTTTTGGACCGACTTTGGTCCCTCAGACCATATCTGGGGTCAACATTTATTTCCCATAATTTATTCTAAAATTAGTAGTTGCGTAGTTCCTGCTTGTTGTCCGATTCCTAGGATTACAGATTGTTGCACCCTAGGCTGTGCAGTGGGTGACAGAAAGTGCATGAGCCAGGAATATTAGACCTCCCGTGATGCCCCACGGCTGCACAGAGGGTGCCAGGAAGTGCAGGAAATCATAGCACTAACACACTATCTCCTGTGATGTCCTTGGGTGTACAGCGGTTGAAGGGAGTGAAGGTGCTGGCATAGTGTTTCTCTGAATGGCTGATGCAGGTGGGACCAGCAGCTCCTACCAAAGAGAAAGGTTTCATCACTACTCCATGTGGTGCCTGGGCACTGACCGATGGAAGGGACAGACAGAGAAACGGACAAGAATATGGACGTGGGGCAGAAACAAGGGCTAAAAGGACATCTGCAACACAGGGTCCAGGAGATGTATGGAAAGACAAGAGGCAGGCACGAAAGGGGTTAGTCCAATCCCTCAGTGTACACCCACGATGGGAATGTACCTTGTTTCTCCTCCTCAGGATACTGCTTGTGAAGAAAGCACCTTGCATCGCATGAACATTGACCCCCAAGTAAGAAAAAGTGCCTTCCCAAGACCTGTCTTTCCATGCAGACTTCTTGTGTGCCATAAGCTGTGCCTCCCCCTCCTCCTCTTCCATGAACAGTTTGTCCTGTCTTGGAAGACTGCATGCTTTCCTGTTCAAACAATTTCTTCTTCAGTGAAGGCCACTGCTCCTTAGACACTTATAATGTCCTTCAACCCATGAGAAGAGTCTCCCCACCCTCTCTCCTTTGGACATCAACACCAAATCTTGCACAACCCCTAAGCTCAAATCCCAGCCCCACTGCTAGTGCCATGTGCAAGGCAGTGCTGATGTTTCCAACCTCCTTTTTGGATAAATGGCTGCGGGCAAAAAGGAGGGATTTGATCCAGTGTCTTAGGAGCCCCCTCACTTCCCACATTCCAAAAACTGCACAACATATAATGAAGTAGAGAGTCAGTGACGCAAACCAAAATTATTTGTGACGAAACTCCAGCAGCTTGCCAGTTATCTTACCCTCAGTCTTTCTCTTGTATTTGCAAATCTCTAGTGACACAGCATATGGATGCATCCACTCTTTTCCCCCTAAGCCACTATCAGATGCAGGCAGAGTGTGCCCACCCCTTGTAAATCAGACCTGCTTGACGTTGGTCTCTAGGGTCCTGAATGGAGCTGAGCTGACTTGGGCTGAAATAACAGAGAGCAGGGGATTGTGTAGTTGAGGTGCCCGTGACAGCCTCCTTGTAGAGCACCCAAGTTCAAAGTCTAGAAATCAGCTCTACTGGGAACTCCCCTTGCACCTTTAATGGGAGCAGGAAGGATCTGAAAGAAAAAGGAAGCCTGACACATTATTTTTTACTAAAACAGATCAAGCAGAGAGTGGGAGACACTTAATGGCCATTGGGTTAATTCTACTGCGCATTAGTGTGGCTCTCAGAAAATGTGCTAATGCGCAGTAGACTAGTACCATGAGCAGTAAGCGTCACGCAAAAAGCGTTCCTCTGCGCTAATGCGCAGTAGCGCCGATGACAGGTTTAGTACCTAGTACGAAACTTAACGCGCTGTAATTACGGCACATTAAGGAACGTGTCCACGCACCCAGTTACCTTTACCCACTATGAAGGTTGACGTTGAGGAGGAGGAGGAAGAGGCAAAGAAAAGTCTCTTCCGAGAAGCTTTGTCTCAGTAAGAGAGAGGATGCCAGTCTTATGAATCACCTCCTCAGGGGCTAAATAAATAGCTGAGTTTCTGTGGGTGTGGAAAAACTAGTAGCTGTCCCTGATGTCTAATCTGAATGTGTCATGGAATAAAACACAATGCACGCATCCTGATCTCTGGAGGTGTCCTGGCCTTGCTAAATGGAGCCTTTTCTCCGGCCGTTTCTCAGGTCGTTGTTGACTCGTGCCGCGTTTTGCAATCCTGGGAATTCAAACGCTGGGCGTGCGAGGCATTTATGGCGTCTCGAGGAGGATTTTCGTCAGCCGGCCGTGTTTCCTGGAGAAATCCAAATTCACCTTTCTCGGAAAAATCCACTCCGCCACCCGCTAAAACCGTCGGATTTTGCATCCGGCCGTCAGTTTTGTGTTTCCTGTGCGTTTTGCATCGGTTTCCCTTCGAACGCCCTCTCAAACGACCCCCGCCCTCCCGCCAAAACTGAACTCGTGAGAAACACGGGAGCTTTTCCTCCACTGCCTGTTTTGGGGTCGGCTGTCCAGGAAATAACGGGATTATGGGGGGGGTGGGGTGGTATTTTGTATTGGATGAACAAAATAAAAATGGGGGGGGGGTATTTTGGATTGGAGTGACTGCGCACCGCGCTGGGGCGTGGGACCAGCTCGTGGCAGGTGCGAGGATGGAGCAATTCCAGCTTAACCCAAGGGGACTCCTGGGAGAGCCAGGGGGACTACAACTCCCGTGAGCCCCCGCGCTCCCAGGATGCCGCGGGGCCGGAAGCGGCGAGGGCTGCTCCGCGTGTGGAGGGGCCTTTCCCATCGGGCTCTGCGAGTGGGGGAAGCACTA